TGGGAGATTGGATATTGGTCTATAATTAGCTAGGACACCTGGGTCAAGAGTAGGCTTTTTGAGTAGAGGTTTAATTACTGCAAGTTTAAAAGCCTGTGGAACATAACCTGTTAATAGAGAGAGGTTAATCAGATCTAGTATGGATGTGTTGATTAGGGGAAAGACGTCTTTGAGCAGCCTGGTCGGGATGGGGTCCAGGAGACATGTTGATGATTTAGATGAAGCAATTGTTGAGGTCAACTCAGAGAGATCTATAGGGGAGAAGTAGTCCAAGTATAAATGAGGTCTTACAGATGTTTCTAAAGCCATTGTAGTAGATGGCACATCTGTGAGAGCTGTGGGAGTGGTCCGACCAATTTTTTTCTCTAATAGTTGTGATTTTATTTGTAAAGAAGCTCATGAAGTCATTGCTGCTGAGATCTAAGGGAATGTTAAGCTCAACAGCACTGTGGCTCTTTGTCAGCCTGGCTACAGTGCTGAAAAGAAACCTGGGGTTGTTCTTATTTTCCTCAATCAGTGATGAATAAAATGTGGTTCTGGCACTATGAAGGGCTTTCTTATATGTTATTAAACTATCTTTCCAGGCTATGAAATACTCTTCTGACTTAGTGGAGCGCCACCTCCTTTCCATTTTTCGTGATGCCTGCTTTAGGGAGCGGAGCTGCGAGCTGTACCACGGGGCTAGCCTCCTCTGTTTCACTACCTTCTTTTTCAGAGGGGCAATTGTATCAAGTGTATTACGCAGGAAGGCTGCAGTACTATCAACAAGATTATCGATTTGTGTGGGAGTAAAGTTAAGGTGGCCTCCTTCCACTGTGTTGGCAAACGGCACTGAAGTAGATAAAGATGGAATTATTTCCTTAAACTTGGTAACAGCATTGCCAGATGGACATCTGCTGTAGTGGAATTGTTTCCCACATAGAGTATAATCCATTAATGGAAATTCAAAAGTTATTAGAAAATGGTCAGACAGAAGAGGGTTATGGGGAAAAACTATTAAGTGTTCAGTTTTGATGCCATATGTCAGAACCAGATCAAGAGTGTGATTAAAACAGTGAGTGGGTTTATTTACAGTTTGAGAGAAGCCAACTGAGTCTAATAATGAACAGAATGCATTGTTGAGGCTGTCATTGTCGGCATCTACATCAATATTAAAGTCGCCTACTATGATTATTTTATCTGTACTAAGCACTAAATCAGACAGAAAGTCTGAGAATTCACTTAAAAACTCTGGATCTAGAGATGGCTAAACCTGGCTCTGTCCAAAGGTAGCAAATTCTATCAACCACCACCTAAAGCTCACTGAATAGAACATTGTTATATTCTTTCAAAGAGAAATGTAAAATTGACATTCTTTGAAATATAGACAAATTACAAAATGAGCTGTTTCTTTAAGCTTTAAAAATAGTTAAGTCTTTCTGCTTAAAGCCTTCAATAAAGTGATTTCACTCACCCTGAACAGATTCAGATTGTAGATTCAGCCTCTCTACTACCAGCTGTTAGAAAATCTGGTCATATTAAATTTTATTTTACAAAATCACTTAATTATTGATTCCCTTGTTCTTCCTCTAGGCAGGACTTTGTCAGTGCCTATGTCGACTATGTCTTCAACACTTCAGTGGCTCCATTGTTTGAGTGCTTCTATGCAGGCTTCCACAAGGTGTGTGGTGGGAAAGTTCTGGAACTGTTCCAGCCAAATGAACTGCAAGCCATGGTTGTTGGCAACACCAACTATGACTGGACAGAGCTCGAAAAGGTCTTGTTTCAGAAATGAAGGAAAATACGCCCTCACCAAGTTATTTGTCAAAGGCACCGTAGTTTAAACAGTACAAATATTTTTTGTCTCCACTCTTCAGAGCACTGAATACAAAGGGGAGTATTGGACTGACCATCCAACCATCAGGCTCTTCTGGGAGGTGTTCCATGATCTACCTTTAGAGAAGAAAAAACAGTTTCTCTGTAAGTGCTGCTCTCCATACAGTCATGTGAAAAAATTAGGACACCCTTTGAAAGCATGTGTATTTTGTAACATGTTTTAATATATGGTTATTTAATCTGAATTTTAACAATACAGAGAGATTAAAGTAATACAACTAAACAAGTAAAACTGAAGAAAAGTCTTTTCAAGATCTTCTGTAAATGTAATTCTACAAAAATGCCTATTCTGAGGAAAAGGATAGCACACCATAGTCCCTAATAGTTAGTGTTACCTGCTTTGGCTGAAATAACTGCAGTGAGACAGTTCTTGTAGCCATCTACCAGTCTCTGACATCGGTCGGAGTGAATTTTACCCCACTCTTCAATGCAGAATTGTTTCAGCTGTGAGATGTTTGAGGGGTTTCTTGCATGTACAGCCCTTTTCAAGTCACCCCACAGCATCTCAATGGGATTCAGGTCTGGACTTTGACTCGGCCATTCCAGGACTCTCTATTTCTTCTTTTTCAGCCAGTCTTTGGTTGATTTACTAGTATGTTTTGGGTCATTGTCATGTTGCATGGTCCAGTTCCGCTTCAGCTTTAATTTTCTAACCAATGGTCTCACATGTTCTTCAAGCACCTTCTGATACACAGTAGAATTCATGGTGGATTCTATGATGGTGAGCTGACCAGGTCCTGCTGCAGCAAAGCAGCCCCAAACCATGACACTTCCACCTCCATGCTTCACAGTTGGTATGAGGTTCTTTTCCTGGAATGCTGTGTTTGGTTTACGCCAAACATGTCCTCTGCTCTGGTGTCCAAATAATTCAATTTTGGACTCATCTGTCCAAAGAACATTATTCCAGAAGTCCTGGTCTTTGTCAACATTCTCTCTGGCAAATGTCAGTCTGGCCTTGATGTTTCTCTTAGAGAGCAAAGGTTTCCTCCTTGCACGCCTCCCATGCAAGTTAAACTTGTGCAGTCTCTTTCTGATTGTAGAGGCATGCACTTCTACATCAACAGTAGCCAGAGCCTGCTGTAGGTCTCAAGATGACATTTTAGGGTTTTTGGAGACCTCTTTTAGCATCTTGCGGTCTGCTCTTGGTGTGAACTTGCTGGGGCGACCAGACCTGGGCATGTTGGCAGTTGTTTTGAAAGCCCTCCACTTGTAGACTATCTTCCGGACAGTGGAATGGCTGATTTCAAAATCTTTTGAGATCTTTTTAAATCCTAAAATGCTGAGTAACAATCTACTAATTATGTGCACCTGGTGTGATATACCTGTGTGATATGAGTCATTTTAAGAGGGCATACATGTGAGGGTGTGCTATCTTTTTCCTCAGTTAGAATAGGCATTTTTGTAGAATTACATTTACAGAAGATCTTGAAAAGACTTTTCTTCAGTTTTAATTGTTTAGTTGTATTACTTTAATCTCTCTGTATTGTTAAAATTCAGATTAAATAACCATATATTAAAAAATGTTACAAAATACACATGCTTTCAAAGGGTGTCCTAATTTTTTCACATGACTGTATATGAGAAGCAGTTATGTTAGAATTGATTTACATTTTGTGTTCCGCTGAAAATGTCAAAGCGTCTCTTCTCTTTCCAGTGTTCCTCACAGGAAGTGACCGCATACCCATCTTGGGTATGAAAAGCCTGAAACTGGTCATCCAGCCCACTGGTGGAGGGGAGCATTACTTACCTGTCGCCCACACTTGCTTCAACCTTCTGGACCTGCCCAAGTACACGAGTCTAGAAAGGCTTCGTGAGAAACTTTTACAAGCTATAGATCACAATCAAGGCTTTAACCTCGCCTGATGCGTCAAACTTCGTGCCCAGACTGTTGATGGCAGCCACATTCCCAAATGGTTTGTTATGCAGATTGGAGTTCTGCTGTACAAATTAAACACTGGTTGGAAAGAGGAGGAGGCCACATGACACTAGAAATGATCGGGTTGGATATCTAGACTTAATCCTGGGTTTGATTTTACAGCTTGTTTTCATGCCATCATAGCATTTGATGCTCTACTATGAGCTGATTCACATTTGATATTGCCCTTGTTGATATGCTTTTATTCACATTTGGATATGACAAGGAACCAGCTGGTATATACAGTACAGGGCACACATACAGCAACATGTAAAATACAATAAAGGGCAGCACCACTACATTGCTGAAGCTTATAATGTAATAGTGAGATGTTTCTGTTATAAGACACATTTTTACTGAAACATCTCAAAACATAATGTGATCCAGACATTGTGGCTGCAGAATGATCACACTCATAACATTTTAAGCTTCACTGTGGTGGTGGTAGCTGCACGGCTACTGCAGTGGAACACACTTATTTTACAGGGGTTGATGATGCTGTGTCCACCCTCTGTACATTACATGTTTGAAGCCAGGCTTTATGTTCCGTTGTGGCATTTGATTGAGAGAAGTGTTAAGAATTTGCTTTAGGCCCGAAGTGGATTTTCTTGGCTGTAAGCCTTAGAAATTTAAAGATGTACAGCCACTCAAATAAATGTGAATTACTATGGGGATAAAATACTTTTGTTGCTTTCTTTAAAGTACTATCTTCTGCCTCATTTGTTGACCGTTATATCTGATTATTTATTGCACTTTGTTTTTGAGTGAATGAATGTCATCTTCGGCTTTTTCCCATTAGGGGTCACACTGATGATTTGCATGTTGCCATTTGGCATCTGTTTCATAGCAGATGCCCTTCCTCACAACCATGACTCGAACCCAGGCCAGTGGTGGGAGTGCCGTTAAAAGTCATTTTAACATGAAATATTTAACTTTGAGTTGCAGTGTAGAAATACAGCTTAAACGATTGCAAGACAAGTAGTCAGGTGATGTGTACTCTGCAGCTCATAGGCCTTGTCACAGTAAAGCTCCACAATGGCACACAAACTTGATCATGACATGCAGCCTTTTCCGGTGTTTCATTGTATGACATATCAGTGAGTGAGGTGCCACTAAAAGTAGCTGAGTTATCTTTTAATAATTGATCTCGTCTCTCATCACAGTATGATGGATGTTGATCTGATCCTTGATTAAAAAGCCTGACAACATATCTAGGTTCACATTTTAATAATGTACATGTCAAATGATGTACACACACTGCAGTATTTGGCAGTTGAAGGAAGCAAATATGTACGAAATGTCCCATTTGTACACAACTCGTTTCATTTAGTTTCAATGGGGCAGCTCATGGTGGACCAGCTTGTAGTGGGAGCCACAGGAGGGGCAGCGCTGGGCTTCTCCCTCATGAAGCCAGAACCACACAATAGCAGTGTTGTCTTCCTCACCTGCAGGGAATTGTAATATATGATTAACCTGGTTTGTATGGACTCTTGTTCCGACACCAGTGGACCTTTATTGAACATTACTTACACAGACAGCCCACAATCCTCTTGGTTCCAATGCATGGCACAATGTGAGGGTCTTCCTTGGTACCAGCATACTGCTGAGGCTTCAGTATACTGTAGGGGTCCTGTTAATTTATAGAAAATAAATGCATCTAAGATATCCTTCCCTAACTTAGGGTCATGAAACAAAATTGGTCCTGGACCTGTTTTTATTGGGTCGCCCGATGGCAAAGTAAAATGCATAGCACTGCTGTGATATGTGAATTCATTTTCCAAATCAAAATGGAAGAAGAGCGAGCACTCTTTTTCTGCACAGATCTGTTCAGCTCAGATGCTGTGTACGAGGCTCCTTCTACTCTCTCTCTCTCTCTCTCCAACTTCATCTCAGCAGGCATCAAAGTTGGTGAATTTTCCCGGTGGGCCAATACCTTTTCCTCCTTAACAGCTTACATATTTTAGGCCTATAGGTCTACAAATATTCAACAGGTCAGCTCCACTGATATTGCTGGTGTAAGCCTTAACAACCATGAGAGCTGTTTCCTTCATACCTGCAAAGTATACTGACTGGCCACTTAATTAGGCACATCTGTAGTCCAGTACCACACCACCTTTCACTATGACCTCAATAATAAATACATAATTGAATTTATACATTTGACAATTTCATTAAAAACTAACATTTTGAGCTTCATAAACACAGATGTTTAGGTGGAAGTGTTGCATTAAAGTGCATACAATTGTACAGGTGTAACTAATAAAGTGGCTAGCCAGCATAAATGTGGTAGCAAATGAAACCTGGAGAGATGGAAAAACTGGTGCAGAAAAGGAGCGACATAAAGAAAGCTGAGTTGGTGATTGATGCTATGTGTGCAAAAGTAGCTGACTGTATCATGTAAACATACTGAAAGAGAGGGGATGGAGGAGGAGGAGGAGGAGGAGGGAGAAGGAACCAGCACAGATTCTACATTCTACTGAATGTTACTGTGTGACTGAAGTAAATGCATATGATCAGGTTGGACTACTCTTCAAAAGTTATTTATTGTTGCGTCACATAAAATAAAATGGCAAGTATGCTGCATAATACACCACACATGTAGCTGCCTATTTTAAGGCTGAGCAATTCATTATAAATGTAATGAATATAATTTGATCACAGTGCATCCAGTCCTGCTAGTGTTTGTTTGTATGTCGTTATCTACCTTTCCCTGTTTGAGCGCCTGCAGCGCACGTCGCTCCAGTCCAGTGGCTTGTTCTTCATCTGTTGGTATTCCTGAAATATTATGACAGAGGTTGGTTTCGATTAAAACCAAAAGTTCGTCTCAAATTAGAAATCATCTGGCCAGAGTGTGTTTTCTCTGCACACTACAGGTTGTTCATAACTGCACGTCGCCACTAAACGCCACCCACACCAAGCTACTCCTGTTCCCTATCAGGTCAATGGCATCAGACCAAAGGAGGTGTGTCTATCGAAGGCCTTTCCTCGAGTTATAATCCAAATGACCTTCATTCGTTGATTCAAATATTGTAGAAGGGACATGTCGGTGTTAATGTAAAACTCACAGCACATAACCACAAACACATGTATAAATATTACATGTCAAAATCCAATGTCTTTTGATCACAGTCGAAAGTAAAACGCCGATGGGAGCACACTAACTTTACACTGCTGGCATGATTTAGCGACCAAACTGCACAATAAAGTGAAAGCATCGCTTGAATATCATCTACCAATCTAACTTCCTCAACCTAACCCCCAAATGTGCTACCAATAACAGTTTCACTTTTATAATGCATGCTTTTACTGCGGGCCTATCGTAAATATTCACTTCCGCGATAATAAACGCAGACCCTTACCTCTCTCTGTGACCATGGCACGGTGTAGCGGTCTAGCCACCACACCGCTCCTCAGCTGCAATGTTCTTGTACAAGCTCGGAGGAGAAGACGTCCAGCCATTACTCTTGTCTCACCTTCAGGTGCCAAAAACAACCTGACACAACTAGCAAGTGCACTAAAATAAGCTTCATAGTCTTATGAGTGACAGGTGGTCGGACCAATAGGAGCAGGATTATTGGCCGCGCTAACCAATGAAATTGAGGACACGGGGCACGAGGAACCGGTGGTAAACACGGGTTGAATCTGTGGTTAAAGCCTTCTTGACAAAAATAATTATGCCATCTTATATTTTACTTTGATACTTAAAACTCTGTATAAACTCTGTATACTCAACAAACTCTCGAGAACATACTCTCCACTTCGTGAAACACCAGACTTCTAAATGAGAATATGGTTATTGCTCCTTCAGTCCAGGTGGAGGCGGTGTGGTGTCCAACAAACAGAGGTGGTTTCTGGAGGTTTTCATGGAAAACAGAAGACGGAGGAACCGAAAAGAAGCTCTTGTATCACGTCCACACATAATGTTTGACCGCGTGTGTGGATTGTTGAACAGTACAAAGTGTAAAAAGACTGGGTCTCGCTGTATTACTCAGGCTGCACTACAGCGTCTATTCACAGGCGCGATCCCACTACTGAGCGGCACGGGGGCTTTGACCTGCTCCGTTTCCGACCTGGGCCGGTGCACCCCTCCTTAGACGACCTGGTGGTCCCGGGCTCCCCCAAGAGCACCATATCGATACCGAACTTAGTGCGGACACCCGATCGGCATAGTCCGCTGCAGCTCAGAGCTCCTGAGCTCAAACGATCCGCCAGCCTCAGCCTCCCAGTAGCTTGGATTACAGGCGCGCGCCACCACGCCCGGCAAGAAACAGACATCCTCATCGGGCTTTTAGTTTTAACAAAAGTGACGTCATCATAAAGTGTGCTGACATCTAGTGGCGATGAATGTGTATGTGGCATTTTAACAGCTTTTATTCACTGATTGGCAATATAGTACTGTATGAAGTGTTGCAGTTTATATGTGGGTATATTGATATTGTTATATCAAAGGAAAGGTGTACAAGACAGTAGTGAGACCAGCTATGCTGTATGGGTTAGAGACGGTAGCAGTGAGGAAAAGACAAGAGGCAGAGATGGAGGTAGCAGAGATCAGGATGTTGAGGTTCTCTTTAGGAGTGACCAGGGTGGACAGGATTAGGAATGAGCACATCAGAGGGACAGCTCAGGTCAGCTGTTTTGGGGACAAGGTCAGAGAGGCCAGATTGAGATGGTCTGGACATGTGCAGAGGAGGGATGGTGTTTATATTGGTAGAAGGATGTTGGAGATGGAGCTGCCAGGCAAGAGGTCAAGAGGAAGGCCAAAGAGGAGATATATGGATGGAGCCAATCCCAGCCGGCAATCGGGCAAAGGGGGGGGTACACCCTGGACAGGTCGCCAATCCATCGCAGGTTGTTCATATTATGAGTGTTAAAAGTCAAGATCTCATCAAGGAGCAGCTAATAATGATTTTGTGTTGAATATGTACAGTTTAATGAAATTTAATGTTAAGGATACTTTTACATACAGTAATACAATCCACTTGTTCATGTGAAAATTATCTTCCTCACATTTAGTTCGTATAGGCTGTTAGCTGAGAAAACATCTTTTGTCCTCGATATTCAAATAAATATTTTTGATTAATATATGTTTTTGCACAAGTTATTTTGCTACTGTGTTATCCAAATACATTATACAGTTATAGCAAATATTTGACACAACTGCCAGTGGGGTGAAACATTACTTCACACAACTTCCACAAAAATCAAACTAAGCAGGCCTATCTTTCATTTGGCCATGCTCTAAATTATTTCTAATACCTCATTCCACCTAAGCAAAAATGGAAGTTGTTGGCACTAAAAACACTGTATGTGTGTAGAATATAGATGTACAGTAGTACCAAACTGAATTTTGGATTTCCGATTTAAATTATTACAGTTACATTAATATCCATTACATGCCAATGCATTAGATTGTAAACATGGCAAAATGTACATGACATGTTTCAGGGTTATTATCCTAACATTATGAACTTAAATGCAAAACAAAAATACACAATACTGCATTAAAGATACTCTAATATCAAGCATGATCACATTTCCATTGTGTGGCTATTCGAAATTAATGAACTGATTAAGAGTAACAACAAATTATTCATATACTCCAATATGCAACTGTAAGATTGTTGTTAGACAAGTACTTCACATGTGCAACAGACACACTTTAGAGCTCACAATTTCCAGTTTAGGGAAGAACTTCAGTGGAGTTACAGCAAGACCAAATTCTCAAAAATTGACACCACGGTTAGAAAGAATCAAAGTGAATAAGCACAGCAACAACTACAGAAACAAAAATCACAAACATTTAAACAAAATGAAACTGCTGATATATTTAGATTTCATAGTTTCTGAACATCCGCAGTAGACTAGATGGTGAGTCAGCGGCCCAACGGAATCGCAGATGGCAGTAATCACCTGTAGTAATGATAGAAAAGCAATTTTAGTAGACTTAAAGACCCCATGGCGTGCTTTTCCTTGTTTTTTGACTTATCTACAATGTCACAACGGTGAATTATCATCTTGGACCTAAAGCTCAAAAAGATGAAGCGAACGTATGTTCTAGTATTTCTATACACAAGCAACTTGATCTATACAAGTCTTGCAAACTCTCGCTCGTGAGACTTTTTTTCGAACAAAATAAAGTATTACATGATATCCTCTCATTTTTAGGAAGAAGCTTTGTGGTTTTATCATTCTGCAATAATTACAAACTATTTGGAGTTATGATGGGTGCAAGGCTAATCTAGATGTACTCAAGATTAAACATTAAATGGCTGGAAATGAGCATGACATGGGCTCTTTAATACTTTGCAAAAAAGTGTTGTTATAAAGTAAAAAACTGAATGAGATAAAAAAAACAGTTCAATCCTGCTATTACAAAATATATTCAATATACTTTGAATAAAGTAATCATATCAAATTCAATATATTATGATTATTAGCTCATGAAGAAGAGAGGGATAGTTTAACTGAAGCTGTACCTAATAAACCAACACTTTTTACTCACTCATTAATTAAATGCGGTATTGTGTAACTGTCAGTGTTGCAAATGTTTCTGCTTACTGTTACTTTCTAACCATCTTAAAGGAGCTGATTTTTCCGATGAACCACAGAAAAACTCAGTTAATAGAAACAGGGAAGCAGCAGGCACATTTGCACAAATGCAAAAACTGAAGTGTTCCATTAGTCTACTACCAAGAGGTACCAATTCTGGATAGCCAAATAGAACCTAATTTTTCAATCCTTCAGGTACAAAAATGTAAGATACTAGATGCACTGTTTCAAAATCAGGATTCTGTTCTGTATTTTTACATTTGTTTTGTTCATTGTTGTATATTGCACTGCAGAATTGTTCTACTTCCTGGTACTTTCCAATACTTTGGCAACATTCAGGATTATACTTACTTGATGAGGGCATGGCATCATTTGAAGCCATCCCTTGAGCTTCTTGGGCCTCTGTTTGAGAAGTGACTGGGGTTTCTGCTGTGGACGCCTCTAACATTGGCTCCTTCTTATTTCTGACAGTCCAGTGCATTGACTGCAAACAGTTGGGCAAAAATATCACTAGGGTGTCTTGTTATTACTTATTTTGAAAATTTGATACCAGGGTAAAGACATTACATACAGTTTTGACAGAGTCATTCAAGGCTTGCCAGTCATGGAATGAAATAGTAACTCCACTTCTTTTCCAAATGTCATAGTTTTTGCGTTTGGTTTCATTGCATAAAACCTCTTTGGCTTCCTGCAGCTTTTGGAACTCTGTCACTGTCAGAGAGAAAGAAAATATCAGGGTCTGAGATGGAACATTATGCTTACAGAATTAGGTGAAAGAAATACCTTCTTATTTGTATGCAGCTCTCCATTAACAATTTGCTTTGAAGTCAAGACATCAGAAAGGCATTAACAGTTTGTGGAATAAGTAAGAAACTGAACGATAACGACAAAAATATTAAAATGTCATTTTAAAAAAATGAGTTGGGTTCACCTTGATGTAAAATGTTTTATGAAACTCTTTTTAAGTTTTATCATTTGAAAATTTAAATATGCACCCCTGTGTCACAGCAATCGTCTACATATTTACCTGCTGTTGGGTTGTCTAGGTGTTTGTCTGGGTGGCACGCCAAGGCTCGGATCTTGTATTCATTGAGAATCTGTTCAGTCTGCAAGGACAAAGATTAAATATACTTTTGCCAATCTAGATATTTGAACATCAGGAATTAGTCATTTATTCAGTTTTAAGGGACACTCCTTTTAAATTTGACATTTACAAACATTTCTATGTGACTGAGGCTACAAAACAACTCATTCTTGTTCTTATTTGTATGGAGAAATATAACCAATCCAGTACTGAACCTCCTGTGTTTTATGTTATCTAGAAAATCTGTTTATTTTCAGGCCTTCAAAGGTATTAGCTCATGTGACACAAGTATTATTTGTGTTGCTACAATGTAGACATTATAATGTGCCGTGATTGGCAGGCCTACTTCACTGTTAATTTGTGTGTTGATGTTCCCATCATGGATGTCAGACTTTCTACCGTTAAGGATATGAATACAAAATATTCTGCTGAGTGTGTAGCTTATTACATGTTGTTATACACGTGGATATGTTTAAGAATGAAGAACTAAAAACAAATACTGCAACAAAACAGTAGCAATGGATGACGCACGAGTTTCTCCAACATCTTCTGGTGAAGCATCAACAGGTCCCAGACTAACCTCTAAAGTATACATCATTCATTAATCTTTCGGTTTGATAGCTTATATACTGCTGGTCTTTAGTGTACATCCAGTATTTTATGTTACTGTGTATTTTTCGACTCTTAAACCAGTGTATGTTTGGTTTATAGAGGTAATGTCGCCCAGCAAATAGGCCGAGCCGAAATCCGATGGCCAGAACTTACCGACGATAATTCATCGCAGCCTAATATCCCGTAGTAATCCTCCAAGTCCCCTGGGGTGCAGTTCAAAATAGCGTCCATAGAAATCTGTTGCAAATGTATATGTTTACTTCTAACAGAGCAGCTTATTTGCTACCCCGAATAACAGCTCTTCGATTTATTAGAGGTTAAGGTTCGCTGATGGGTTCCCCCTCCCCCGCTTGGTTGATGATAACTCACTGGCAATATTTCCAAAGCGTGTCTTGTTATTAGTTTGTCAGCGAGCGTTAGGTAATTAATATACAGACTGACAAATATTAAAACTGTCTGGGGACATATCTCTTCTGACTTGTCAAAACTGACCCGTTCTTTTAACCATATGACGTATGCTGCATTCAAGTGTCGTGGAAAAGTTACAACTCCGCACGGAATTTCCACCATTCATGGAGTCAGGAAACTACGATGCATAAGCAGTGAGAAAACAATAAATTACTTTGACATAAAATATTTGAATGATAGCATAGCATATGTAGCAAACCGTGACATATTTGGTGAAAGGAAAACAATATATTGCATGAGGCGTGTACCTAATTGCAATGGTAATTGCAATTGCAACGTATACATGTAATATAAAAGTTATAAGAGATAATTATTGACATGGGCCACATCTTTTATCAATAAGGTTTGGCATCTGCATTTTACACACAACTTTATACAATTATTCACGATCTCTTAGCTCTGTTCATAATTCACCGAGCAGTGTTTTAAGGCAACAGTTTTTTTTTGTTATGGTTTTATCACGCCCACGCAAGTGGGGACGTTCCAGCTGTGCCTATTGGTGAAGAAAGTCACGTGGGCTATGCTAATGAGCCAGCTGTCCGAAAGGAAGGATCTGCTCAGCGCCTCTGCGGGCTGAAGATGGCGGATGGAGAGAGCAGTCTCGGAATGGCCCTTTCAGGCGCCTCCGAAATGGATGAGCCTGCCGCCAAAAGGTCTAAATTCAGTCCGGTGACCAACTACGGATTTAAAGGGGCCGAAGTAGATCAACTCTCATGCGTCTCTGGACACACAGAGGCATGGAAGGCGGCGGTGAATTGTGCACAGCCCGCGGAGAAGGAAGCGAAGCCGGTGATGGCGGTAGAGCAGGCCCCATCAGCGCTAGGCGGAGACAACAATAGACTGGGTCTGCGGGTCCCCGAGCCGCATAAACCACTTGTGAAACTAGAAGACAGCGTTGTACCTGGGACAACCGAGGAGCGTGCTGGTATGAAATCAGCCGGGCATTTAACCAAGCTTTATTATTTACGCTGCTCTCAGTGGGCAGTGCTCCTTTTACCAACTTAACCGGCGAATTAGCTTATTATGGAACCGAAGAAAAATTAACGTTAAATAACGCTGGACAGCTAACCCTAAACACAGTAAAGATGTGTGGCTGTTGAGGTGTGTACTTCTTAAGACGTTCACTTTAACTTTTTAGAGCTAAAAAAGAGAGAAAACTATCTGTGATACATCTTGAAGGGTTTCACGAGTTAACTTATTTCTTCTCTTAGGTTGTTGTCATGGAAAGTGGTTGTAACCGTTAGTAGTGGTTATTACAGATGGACGCCACTGATCTCTGATAGTTTCCAAACTTTTGTGCTCAGATTTTCTTGGATATGATGATCTCCTCACCAACGGTGTTGCTGTCACACCGGACCACATCACCGAGGAAGATGACAGATCCTCACATGCAAGCTCCAGCGACTGGACTCCTCAACCGCAAATAGGTAATTTGGTGAATTTGAGTAGCATTTGGCCATTAACTTTACCTGCAGCACCTTGTACTGTTCTTATGATTGTATGCATTTTGTAAGAAGTAAATTGTTTAAGTGTCATTATCGTTAAATGCAGCAGTACAGCATATACAGTTTGGAACACACAATATGTATTTTTGTCCAGGTTCCTACAGCTTCATCCAGCAACACATCAGAGAGACAGATCCGAGGACCATTCTGAGGGATCTACTGCCTGAGACTGTACTCCCACCAGATTTAGATGAAATGACATTGTGGCAGATCATCATCAACATCTCAGAACCTCCAAAAAGAAAGAAGCGGAAGGATATTAACACATTAGAAGATGTGGTCAGGCTACTCCATGAAAGTAAAAGGATCCTTGTGCTGACGGGGGCTGGGGTATGCATTTACAGTATTGTTATACAGTTGTACAATTTGAATGGCCATGTGTTTGATTTAGTATGTTGTTAATGCTATTGAACCAGCATGCTTGCATGCTTTTTTGTAGGTGTCAGTTTCATGTGGAATACCAGACTTTCGTTCCAGAGATGGAATTTATGCACGGCTTGCTGTAGATTTTCCTGATCTTCCAGACCCACAAGCTATGTTTGACATTGAATACTTCAGACGGGACCCAAGACCCTTTTTTAAGTTTGCTAAGGTTTGTTCATTGTGTCTGATTGATCTTGTGCATACACAAAGCTGAAAACAATACAGAAAAAATTGATTGACCCCAAATTAAAATACTGGCATCGGAAATTAGTTTTGCATACATAATTTTAACAAAATATGTTAACACAGACCTGAGCAAGGTGCTACGGAAGTAATATGCATAGATACCGAAGTTTCCATCTACTTAGGTCTGCACATTTATTTTATTAACTTAAAGGTCATACAGGAAAGACAGGGAAGGGGAAAATCCCTATTCAATTAAAATTTATTTGTATAGTGCCAAATCACAGTTATCTCAGGGCACTTTACAAAATAAGGTCTAGACCTTACTATTATTATTATTATTATTATTTCATTGAAGCCAACCATTTATGGCATCTGTGTATCCTAAGTGTATGACCTTAGATTGAAAAGTGTGTGTGTCATAGTGCACTATATCCTACAGCTTCCATTTTTGTGGTTCACATATATTAAAGCACTAATTTAATGTTTACCCTTTAGCACCAGAATACCTGTGTCTTTTTGCCAGAAGAAACTCTGTGAATAAAAGTATCTAATGTAGTAATAGATGGTATTCCAGAACATTGTGTGCAGAAAATTACTTTGTTACATCAAAAAGATTTCTAGCATTTTTAAACTCCAACCTAGTACAAGAGTCTTTAAAAAAGTTATCTGCTGAAAACCTTTTGAGGCCAGAGTCGTCTGTGGTCATGCGCATTAACTTTGGAAGAGGTCCAGTTTGTGTTCTAAGACTAAGCTTATTCAGGCTTTAAATGTAAAGATTTTTAAAAAGAAATTGTCAAGTTTTCCAGATGAACAGTGCAGGGAAGACAACACAGGGGTGATGTGCATGATTATAGCAAGTGCTGGATTTTGTTCACAAGTGCTGAATGCATCCCTTTTGTTACAGGAGATCTACCCTGGTCAGTTTCAGCCTTCACCTTGTCACAAATTCATATCTATGCTGGATAAGCAAGGGAAGCTGCTGCGCAATTATACACAAAACATTGATACATTAGAACAGGTGGCTGGAGTTCAGAGGATTATCCAGTGCCATGGTGAGAGATGTGGCTACTAGATGGACCATGCTTATTTTTATGTAGTTTTGTCCATGATGTTGAATGGTCATTAATAACTCCCCACTTTTTTTCAGGGTCATTTGCAACTGCATCCTGTCTTGTCTGTAAACACAAAGTGGATTGTGAGGCTATAAGGGAAGACATCTTTAACCAGGTATTTATTCATTACATACTGATCCAGAATAACACATTTTTATGGATACTGATTCTACTACTCATCAAAGTCACAAGACATTGACCTATATCCCACTGACCCTGACGCCTGTTACATATAATGCATATTAAGCAGCACCCGCAACAGTTTAAAAGAAAATGCACAGCAAGCTATTCGACAGTCTCAGTATCCAGAATTTCATTGTTATTGCATAGAAAGGTCAAAGTATTTATGTGTCATATGCACATTTAGGAAACATGTTACCCTGTACAATGAAATTCTTACTTTGCTGTCCACATGAATGCCACATAATACAAGTGAAATATAAAGTAGATGAGCAATAACACAAATCTAAATAGGCAGTAAAATCACAAATCTAAGGCACTTTAAAGCAGCAAGTGAAGGAAGCAAATAAAATACAACAATAACACAATATAACGCAGAAGGAATATATGCTATATGTGCAATTATGCATGTGCAAAATGACAACCCTACGGTGGTAAATGCTCTGCAGAGAGAGCAGTGGAGTCCTGGTGATCTTCTCCGCAGTCTTTATCACTCTCTGCAGGCACTTGCGGTCCATAGCAATAGTGCATACCAGACAGTGATGCAGCTGGTCAAGATGCTCTCAATGATGCAGCTGTAAAAGTTGCAAAGGATCCTAGGTGACATGTCAAACCTCCTCAGCCTCCTCAGGAAGTACAGCCACCGTTGGGCTTTCTTGACCAGCTGTGTGGTGTTATGTGTCCAAGTGAGGTCCTCACCGATGTGGACGCCCAGGTATTTGAAGCTGCTCACCCTCTCCACGTCGAGCCCCCGGATGAACAGCGGCTGATGAGATCTCCTCTCCTTCCTCATGTCCACTATCATCTCCTTCGTCTTGTCTGTGCTGAGGCTCAGATTATTGTCCCTGCACCGTGACCCAGACTGGCCACCTCCCTCCTGTAG